GCGCAGTACTCCCCCAGCCGCCGCCCCATGTCCCGCCGGTCGGTCTCCAGCCGCTCGTTGTCGGCCTGCAGCGCCGCCAGCTGCTCCTCAAGTTGCTGCTGCCGCTCCAGCATGGCCGCTTGCTGCTGGCACGAGGCGCCGCCGTTGGGGCGCTCGCCGCCACCCTGGCTGCCGCCTGCGCCGTCCTGGCCGCCGACCGGCTGGTTGTGTGCACCGTCGCTGCTGTAAGATTTGGCCAGACCACACACGGGGCAAAGGAAGGGAGCTTGGCAGAAATAATGCACCACGATAAGCGTGTACCGTGCTGCACAACAATGTCAACGTTTGTTTTAGCGCACCCTGACTCATCATACACACTGGAACATGTGGCAGCGCACCTTGTCCCCGCCTCGGCCTGTGCGCAGGCGTCATGCCGGGGCTGCTGATGTGGCTGCTGCTGCTCGCCAGCTGCTCCTGCTTCTGCAGATGTGGACGCTGCGCTGCCCAGCCGGTTTGCCAATTCCGATAGTGATTCAACCGCCTCTATGAGCTTGCTGAAGTCCACTCGTCCATAGATGGGGCTGCCGCAGCGACGCAAGGTGGGTTGCGGCGAGGATTGGTGTGCAGCAGCGCCAACAACGCTGTCCAGATCACTCAGCAAACGCCATGCCGCACCTGGTAGCGTCCGCTACGGTTAGTTTTGATCCCAAATCTTCTGCCATCTGTCCTGCTAGCGCGTTCACTTTGAGAACGGATCCGGCCTCTTCCATGGGCAGTGGCTCCTCCATCGCTGTATAAGTCCGCGCAGGCGATAGATACAGCAGCTGTATATACCCTGTGTTAATTCAAATATGGAAATGTGACGACCAATGCGCTGTAGCTCCTTTTCGCTGATGAGCGTCGCTGTCACACCCGATCGCTAAATTTGAACTCGGGCCTCGGTGCACGGGGAGGTCGCTCAGCAAGGAGCGCTCCGGGCGGCGCCGAACAATTTCTTGATTTATGGCGAGCAGGGAAGAGATGTGTAACCTAGACCACAGGGCATACGAAAGGCGCTCATTCTGACCGCAGTTGTCCAGAAGGGTGCATGGCAGTGTTCCGCCTGACAGCAAGCAACTGCTGTACACTCTATCTGCTGGAAGCCATTACTACAGCGCATCATGTGTTGCCTTGCTGCAACTCATGTACGCATGTGTTCATGACGCTGTTGGTCTTGGCATGCCCTTGCCGCCACTTGCTGATGCCCATCACGCTTCCACAAGCTGGCCCAGGCGTTTGGATTTCATGCCTTGCTCAAAAATTTACAAGAAGGGGGGACAAAGATGGACTATCTCCCTCATGAAAGCCGAGCCCTGCATGCAGGAGCCTAACCATGCGCTCACACCCACCATCCCTAACTCTCTCTGCCTGCAGCACGCCCGCTCCAGAGGCACCGCCGTCAAGCCGGGCCGCAGTCAAGCCTGCAAGGCGCGGCTTGCCCGCGGCGGGCCCTTGCAGGTGCAGGGGCCGCGCTTGGGTGGCGGGCGCGGGTGCGGGTGCGCGTGGCGCCTCGCGATTCACCACTTGTTGCCGGCGGCCTGGTCGTACACGTAAGCAGCAACGCCCGCGATCTCGTCCTCATCTGGCGTGGGTTCAGGTGGTGCATGGGTCAGCCGGGACTGAATAGGCGCAACGACTGGACATGGATCTCTTGATGCACGAGATCAGCTTGTAAACACCAACATGGCTACTGACTGTGCAGCAAATCGCAGAGAACTTGGAGAGGGGGACGCAGGGCATTTATGTGCGGCACAGCGCAGCGTGCTGCACGGGCGGCATTGAAACGGCTACTGCTGCTGCCGCAAGGCGCTCACCCAGGCGGCCGTCCCAGGCGGGCATGGCGCCCTTGCCGTTCTCAATCTGCGTGGGGGTTAGTTCCGGGTCAGGGTTCAGCAGGGAGCGTGGCAGAATGGGATCTCTGCACCCCAGGTCGTTTCAATCAGTTATTAGTTTTGTCGATCAGTCGATGACGCCAGATAACAAACATCGGTGCTGAAGCCTGTGCAGCGCACTATGTTTGACGCACAAAAAACCCCAAAAACACCAGCTGCATAGAGCATGCGGCCACCGTCAGACCCACAACCCACCCCGCAAATCTGCAGCGGGGCGGGTTTTGGGTCCGCACGCAGAACACTCTACTGCTGTCAAGCAGAGCGCTCGCCGCCCTCCCCCCAGCCCAGCCAACGCCCAATGCGCTTCCACGTTGCGCCACGCGGGGTGGTGTAATCACCTGGTAGACAATGGCCTCGATGTTGAAGCCGCCATCCAGGAACTGCTCAATGGCCGCCTGGTGGTAGGTTCAGGGGCGAGGGAGGGGGAAGGGAGAAAAAGATTGATGCCGATCACGGCGTGTGTGGTGCCCCTGCTTACTGCCTTCAGTCTCGCATGCACGTAGACACCGTTTGCCGTGCCCACACCCTTCGTAAGCAGGCGGCAATGTTGTACACAGCTCGGACTTCACACTCGGATGGTTCCCAAGATTGGTGCTGCAGCTGCTTGTGTGTTTTACCTTCTGCAGGGTGTGGTCGGGGATGACGTTGTTGCCGCCGCCAGCGTGGCAAGCAGCTGCGTTGCAATGCGACCGGTGATGCGCGGGTGGGGTTCGGGTTGGGTCAGGACGTGGCATGCCCTGGAGATCTGCGCCAGGTGGCAAGCAAGGCCATCAAGTCGCCACCACATGCGGCCGCCAGCACCCTGGCGGAGCCGGACTGCAATCGGTGTGCCCGCAGATTTGCCCTGCTGCCACCGCCGCACGGCCACCCACCGCAGTTGCCGTCGAACACGGCCTTGCCCAGAGCAAGGTCGGCCTCAGCAAACGCGGCGCCGCCGAACAGGGTGGTCGCGGCCACAACAGAGGCGGCGGCGACGCCGAGGGCGCGCGAGACGGCCGAAGGCGCGTCCTGGGCCTGGGCACGCACCGCGACGGAGCGGGTGCGGGCGGCCTGGTGGTGCATTGGGGGAGGGGCGGGGGGTGCGGGCTCTTGTGGGTGGGCACCATGGCAGGGCAATCGCAAGGGAAGGCCTGGAGGTGGGAGCTGGCCGCAGAGCGCGAGCAAGATGGGTGCTCAGGCTTTCTGAAAGGCGACTGACGGTCTGTTAATAAAGATCTCAGTTGAGAGATTCAGGATCAGCCCAGTGCCGACCTGGGCGCGAACGCCGGCCTTGGCGGAGGTGGCCTTGAGCATCATCTCGGGCGGTTTTGCCTTGACACAACACAAGGAAGGGGACTCAAGTAATAACACAAAATAACGAGCACCAATGAGCGTCTGAATCTCTGTTACCGGCGCAGCATGGACGGCCCCTGAGGGGAAAAGGACCGCTTGAGGGACATCCGTACACAGCCCCACCGACTTCGCGTTTGGCACCCTTGCTGCGGGATGACCCGCCACGCAACATGCCGCTTTCACTCAATTTTCCTGGCGCATCAGCCCAGCAGGGCCGTACACAGCTGCCAGGGTGCCCACTGCGACCCTGGGTGTGACACTGGGGTGGCTGCTGACTTCACCCCTGCCGCAAGCCTTATGCAGCAGTGAAAATAACATGAGGAGTTTTCACTAAGAAAGCTTGCAAGCGGAGAGCAGCAGCTGGCATGAAGGCATTTGAGGCGGCACAGGACACAAATACCACGCCCGCGCTGCGCACGCCTGGCGAACGTGGCGCGCACGCCCCCGGAAAGTACAGTAGCACCCAGGCACGCGGCCAGCCGCGACACAACACCGCCCGATAGCCGCAGCATTACACAGTGAGCCGCTAGCAGGCAGGTCACAGTCGCAAGCCACAGTGCCCTGCACAGAACACCGCATTTGCAAAATACAGAGGCAAATCATGTGGTCCAACTCCTGGATGGGTGGACAGCGTAAGCGAATCCATAATTTGGCGGGTATCACGGCTACCCGAATGAGAAGGATAGCTTGGGGCGCCCCTTCCCCAGGATTTTGGCCTGCTCCTTCTTCTTGGCGGCCTCCTCCGCTCGGCGGCTGCCCAGCGGGGGCCGGAGGGTTTTGGGGTTGGGGAGAGCGGGGTGGGGTCAGCATAGGGTTTAGCAGGGCAGACGTTGCAGGCCGACTGGTCTTGGATCGGAGTTGCCAGGTGGAGCCGCGCCGCGCGCGCCGAGGCCCGCGGCGCAATGCGGCAGGGCTCTCCCTGCGCAGCATCATTGCAACAGGACGGGCGGGGCCGGTGTTCGCCTGCGCCGTGCCCGCCCC